ACAGTTGTAGAAGGGGCCAAGACCTGGTTGAGCCTTGGTGATTGAGACAAAACACTGCACTTCTGTTGTCCATGGCAAACAGGATCGCCATATTCTGTAAATTTGGGTTTGCCGACAAAAAGAATAGGACCGCTGCTAATTCTTTTACATTTATGTGTTTGTCCCAAAGGAAGTTGCTCCACTTCCCTTGACTGAATTCCCCTATTGAGGAATGGTATCCCCATCCTATTTCGGACGCATCCGTACAAACGACCAGAACTGTTTGAGGCGGAACCCAGGGAGAGGGACCGATTAGATTGTCCAACTTTGTCCACCATAACAGATGATTCTTTATCTGAATAGGGAGAGAAGAAGCAATATTTCTGCTTCTGTGAAGCAACTTCGAGCCCAGATGAGATAGTTGCCTTTTCCTTAACTTTCCCAATGGAACCACTTTTGTGGCAAAATTCCACAGACCCATAAGTTTTTCCCAATCGTGCCAAGAAACCTTGTGCTTTACACAAAAGGCTTCTACTTTGGTTTATCACATTTGTTACTTTTGCTTCTGGTAGACTGACTGACTGCTGATTTGTATCCCACTGGAGACCTAACCAATCCAACTTTTGACATGGTATTCAATTTGATTTGACCTGGTTTATCTTTAATCCCAGGTTTTGAAATAGCACTAGTGTACGTTGGGTCGCTCTTAGACAATCTTCGAAAGAGTTTCTCACTATCAGCCAATTGTCTAGATAAGCAAAGGTTTTTATGCCCTCCCTTGCAAGGATCTTTCTGGGAATGTTCGCCAGTTTTGTAAAGACTTTTGGCGCAATCGTCAGGCAGAAGGGCATCACTGTGAATTGATAACTTACATCCCCCACTTTGAACACTAGAAACTTTCTGTACCTGGGGGCAACAGGAACATGATAATAGGCATCTTTGAGATCCAAGCATTGGGCGGAAGTAGATGCCTCAGATGATCATAAGTGAGCATCTTGAAACTTTTTTTTTTTTGGTAATAAATTTGTTCAGGACTGAAAGATCCAAAATCCATCCTAATTTGTCGCTGCCTTTCTTGAGGACTGGAAATAGGCGAGACATGAAACATTTCTCTGACTGTAACAGTTCTGACACCTCTGTTTAATAGTTGAATTACAAATTCTGTAAGTAAGGGGGTTGGTTTTTGACCCTTTTTTGGAAACGTTAGGGGAGGGCGCCTCAAACAAGTCCATGTGAGGCCCCCTTTGATTGTCTTGTAAGCCTATATGGAAGAAGTCCATCTGTTTTCCCAACCCCCTAGACGACCCAGCTGTCTGGCTTCATTGGAAGGGAGTGGATGCTGATGTGGTGGAATAAGGTCTCCTTCCGCTTCTGAACAAACGGTAACCCCTACTACGTCTTTGATTATTTCCTCCTCTAAGGTTTTCTCTAAGTTGATAACTGAACCGAGCAGCTGGTTCTGTTCCCCTGTAAAACCTTCCTCTTTTAGATTTCCAAAAGGTCTGAGGACTCCTGGGAACAGTAATATTAATTGCTTGCTCAACAGCTGATCTATATTTAACCAATGAATGTTCATCAAACAAAGCAGGAGAAAGAGGGGAAGAACGTAGCAATAAATAAGCACTACCACTTGAAGCATTATTTGTGGCTTGCTTCCTTAGCTGGACTTTAGTGTTAGGGCTTTCAACAACATATCAAAAATGAGTTGAACAGGGAATATGGGGTCCCTTGTAAAGCAGCAGCAAAACATTTGTCCACTTCTGAATTTTCTTCATAGTCCAGCACAAACTTAGTTAATAACTGACACATCATAATTGCAAACCAAATATCTGCTGCCAATTTCTTAATTTTAAATTTTTTAAGCAGCAGTGCAGGGGCAACTGGTTTCAAATTATTATTTTTTTTATAACTTATATCAGCATATTTTGGAGCCGACAAATACTGGGAAAGTTCATACAAGGAACTTGTTTTGTCATTAAATTGGAACTTCAAAAAAAAAATACTAAACTTGTGAGCATTCCTGTCTGTGGGAATGAATGTTAAGTCTTTCAATACATTAGCCCAGACTTTGTCTACAGTATTTCAGAGATCATCTTTGGGCAAATATCAGGCCAAAAAGTGTAGTATCACCTTCCAAAAACAATGAATGATGACCCACAGTTGCTTGTCCTTCCTGTCTCTTTGTAAATGCTGAGATATCAGGAAGTTTTGAAACATTTTTGTAAAATACCTTGAATAAGGAATCCACAGACTCAGATGTAGTAGAAAACAAAGTAGACTTAGATCTTACCAATGTCATCCAAGGCCTGTTGGGATCATCCTTACACTCAATGTTATCCATCAGTTGCATGGCAGTTGACAGCAGCCTGTTTCCACTCATAGAAACCAACACTTTTGCCCCAGGTGGAAGTGGTTGCCAAAATGTGGATAGGATGAAGTGTCTCAACAAGTTCTCCCTGCTCAAGAGACTGAATACTATGATTAGAACCAGCCTCATCGTCCTGATCCTGGAATCCACTGAAATCAGACTGAGCAGATAGAGGTTTGTGTAGACTTCCTACTGCCCCACTGTCTGGAAGGTCCAATAACTTATTTTTTATTTATTTTTTTTTCATTTTTTTTTAGAAGAAGCAGGCTTGTCTAAGTGGGGATTAAGTCTCTTACCTAACACCCATAATCCTAAACTTTCTGCCAACTTGGGATCTTTCCATTGTTTTACGTTTAAAAATTTACTCTTCAAGGCCTTATTCCACCTATTTTTAATTTGGATCTGCAATTATTCTTTCTTATCACCTGTAGCTTGATGAAATTGAAATATTTGATCATAACAAACTGCACAATCCATTTGTGAAAATAGGTTATTTGAGACACAGTTGCCATGACTTATGCAAGCCACATGAGGATCTATCTTAGTAATCCAAGTGGCTCTACATTTTTTATAATTACATGTAGTATGGCCCCCTTGGGTCTTAGGTGAAACTACTACTACTGAATTAAATTTCTTGTATGTAGTGCCTGAGCTGAACTTTCTAGTCCTTGTAGCTCATCACTCAATACTATCTCCTCAGGGACAGTTCCATAGTCTCCTCCATCATCCATAGGCCCAGACTCCTGTCCTTCATCCTCCAGTTGCACATCGCTCATCTGAACTAGGAGGATACCATGAGTCACATTATAAAAATATAAGGGAAAAAACATTTTCTCCCAAACTTAATCAATATGACTCAAAATTGTCATATTATTAGTAAGTTAATTCATTAAGATCTCTTATTGTTATATAAGTCACTCATTTGACAATTATAAACAATTAACTCACTTTGTCGTATCTCTCTCCCGACTCTTATCTCAAGTATACCTTAGCTCAATGAAATTTTTTTCTCTTTCATAAAATAATTTCATTTAGAACATTTTATTTAGAGGGGTCATCAAGATCTCTATTTGTTGCCAATCAGGGGGACAGACATTATCTCCCAAATAATAACTTAAGCGAGAATCTCTACGTGCGCACTATCACCCGGCAGGGTTGACAGTGCTGAGTCGCTAACATAGCGCTCTATTGGCAACAGCGTTCACTATTACTCTAGCAATACTTATTGGGTTGAGAATTCCACCCTGAATTGTTCTCATATAACCCATATAAGGATGTAAAGTTCATTTCAACATAACTCTAGATTGCTAGGAAAACCAGGTCAACATTCCGGAAGGAACGCTAAGTCTAGCAGCCTCGCTAAAGTTCGCCTGGAAAGACTGAACCAGCTACTGAGGACATCAATAAAATAAAGTTACGAAGAGAAAAACTCAACTCTGGCCTTTATGCTGAGAGCAATTAGAAAACCGAGGGAGGAAGCCCAAAGGTTTTTTGTGAACGAACATAAGAATAGGAAGAGACAGTCATGACATTCATACTAGCACGTGTATAATTGGGACAAAGAAAACCGTAAACAGTATACATATATATGTATATATAAATAGATATATTCACATATTCTCTTTCAGCGACATTCACTGAGTGACTTAAAGGCAAGGGATAGTCACAACGAACTAAACGACTTCACAAAGAAGACATGTTGTATTCGCCATTATGCTGACCAGAGATGGTATAAGAAATTGTCCCAAATACAATAATTGAGAGATATAACAATATAACAGTCACTCTACTTCATCACTGTGCTAATAAGTACAAATACCGTATATAAAATCCTCGTGGAGCTTAGTATTTCAGCAATTACAACACGAATTCGTGGAGCTCTCCTTCGTGTGTATTTACAGCTGAATCGCCAGGCAAGAGATGACGGTGGCGGTCCGTGCGATGGTGAGTGAAAGGGGGGTTTCGACAATTGCAATTAAATACCAGGTAGCGACGTGTCCTCCTAATATTACTTATTAAGTAATTATTAGATGTTATAATTGCCTGTATGTTGGCCTGGCAAGCTATTGCTAGGCATTAACATACCTAAGTTAAAAGCTGAGCGTCGCATTCTGAGGTTGAACAAAAATAAATATACAGGTACTCCTCGACTTACGACAACCCAGACATATGACCGCCGTGGTCGTATAAAATATTTTTCAAATTACGTATTTTCGAGTCATGACATTAGTGATCGCGTTGTTTACTGACAAAATTTTCACTTGTAATTCCCTTTAAAATGGCTGGCAAGCGTAAAAGTGAGAGTTCTCGTGGTGCTGAGAAGAAAAGGGGACACCCATTTTAGATTTTCGATGTACCTGCATTATTTTCGCCTTTTCGTCTCACGACCTGGTCGTCGGGACGGAACCCCGTCGTAAGTCAAGGAGAGACTATTCTACAACAAAAGCAACATGAGGTACAGTACAATAAGCATGGGATGCAATATTCTGAATATAATGGAAAGGATTAAATAACTGAAAATAAAGTAAGTGTTTTAGTAAGAAACTGAAAAAAGGCTTGGAACTGATATTAATCGACGGTTGGAGAGCCGGGTCATGCAAATGAGGGAACAACCATAAATAAAGAGTAGGGAGAGCAGCCGACACCAACATACCACCACCTTAGTAGGCCTGGGGACCTCTTTATTTATGAGACCATTACTCAAACTCATCACACCATGAGGCTGTCAGAAACAAGACAAACAGTTACTGCTCCACATCTGGGGACAAAGCTTAGAAAACACTCATAGATTACTTTACTATCAACAGGGGCTTCCCATTCCTTCTTTTTTTTATTTCAGCAGAAAAAGTCTACAACAATTCTTTTACCATAAAAAGTGAAGGAAGCCCCTGTTAACAGAATACAAAAAATAATATCATGAACCATCATTTATCTTTCACTTTAACTAATAACAAATTAATTTATATGCTAATGTGACATGCATCTTGCAACTCCAAGATTGACAAGATAGTTCCTATCATACTAATTCACTGGTATCATCAGCAACAAAAAGACCTTTAAGTATATTATTAACAAATCAAAAGGTGATGTTCACAGGTACAGGAAGCACATCAACACTTTCATATTCTCAAGCAACATGAGAAAAGAAATAAGGCAGCCAAACTTAATTAACATTTACATGATTTCACAGAAACTCAATCTTTCCCTTTAAAAGGTTGCTGCTAAAAATTAACCGAGTGAAAAGAGCCAAAATACGTAGCGAGTAATAATAATAATAATTCGTTCTCCACATCAACGACTGAGCGAGTGCTGTTATTGCCTCTACGTCAGAGAGACACGTTCTTCCATCAGCCATCACATTGAGCATATGGCATCAACTCCTAGGACTCTCCACTGGTAGTCCTTAAACATCAAGTTACATACAGAACTCAAACAGCAATTTAGTTAATGATGTTACCGAACAAGAATCTTCACTCTCCTTTTTTACACTCTTGGCCTTTCCGATAAATCCTATTTCTCATCAATGCATTTCTCATGCTTACAAGTATCACTGACCTCCAGCCACACCAAACACTGTATTAGGTAATGCCAGCAAAAGATTATGTCTATATACTACATCATGTTATAACCACACAAGTACAAGAGCAGGAACTAATTCTTCTAGTTATACTCTAAGCATGGATAAATCCTCTAACGTATGAACACTGTTTGGAAAACTAAAAGATGAAACTACCTAAATTTGCAACTAATTAAACCAAGCTGAAACAGACATGATGATAAACATTTAGCAGTAAAAATAAAATAGAGATGAGTTGGTCAGGTAAAAGGCACATATACAAGAACTAACCTTGGCATAATCCACACATTTATTGTATGTACAGGCGTTGTTGCACCACACGCACCCATATGTATTAGACACACACGACCGACACGACTTCTGTTCGTCGCAGAGAGCCGTAAAATTATGCTTGGGGGTCACTTCTGGACACACATCATAAGCCTTTTTGTCATTATTATTATTGGATTCACATCGGGTCAAAATCCTGAAAAGGAAATTGTTCTCCTTGGTATTCATTCAAGATTCATGTAAACAAAACAAAAGATGACTTAATGGTCCAAACAAAGCTAATTGAAAAGTTAAAAGCTTGGAATTAAGGGATGATGAAGTACAGTGAGTAAAGTGTGCACTGAAGAGAGGTGAGTGAGCCAGCACACAAGGCATCACAATGAAGGCAGCTCCTCCCAATACTGAAAAAGCCAAGGAAGAAAATACAAGATGAATGTCATGAAATATAGACAGTTATAGTAAAGGAAAACGTAAGAGGTGGCAATACAAAAGACTCCTCACCTGTTCCAAACACATTTGCGGCCGGGGTAGTTATGTAAGCATTCATCACTGGAGGATATTTGAGTCTTGCATCTGTAGAAATAATTCTTATGTCAGCAAAACCATTAACAGACGACAGTAAATCCCTCATCCACCTTGGTCCTCAAGATTAACCATAACACAGAATTTTATCTTTCTTTCAACATAAATTAATATATTATAAAACTATTCAACCCCGAGATAAAAAATGACCCACTGATATTTCAGGACACAATCAAACATTGTCTACACACAACAACTGTTAAAATTATACATGGGTGACTTACAGTCCTGGGTGATACCGCAGAACCGACCCCAGCATCTTTCCGTTAAAACCACCGATTATATACATGTCCCCTTGGTGCAGTACTGCCGAGTGTCCGTACCGTGCCACGTCCAAATACAGATTCGGGGGTTTGTTTAACGAGTGCCAAGAATTGCAAGCTATGTCGTACGCCAAGAAATCAGCACTGTAACATTTGGCACCGAAAGAAAAGGATGTATCATTATGCGTGTTTCCTCCAAACACCAGCATCAGACCCTCAACTAGGACGGCAGAGTGCAAGAATCGAGGCACTGGTGCTGGACTGCGCAGTTTCCTGAAAATAATGCACAATTCTTGAGATAACCACCAAAATTAGAAACATTGTTTAATTCCTCTTATTACTGGAGTCCCTGAGCAGAAAGGTTTATTGTTTGAATTTTTTAGTGAATACATAGCAGGTCCAGGAAATGATCAAATAAGGTCCTACTTTCACTATCAATTACAATAAGACCAGATACAACAACTTCCCTATGTTCTTAAAGCTGTGGAGTTCATAACTTAGTGTATGAAGTTTTAACTTGTGTTTTGGAGCTTCACCGAACATTTATTAACTCACCATTTTTGTTTAATGGGGTCGTAAGTCATAAGATATGGAACAACATGACTCGTTGAAACTTTGGATAGGAGACCACCGTGGACGTACACAAGGGTGGTCACAGGGTCCCATATGGCTGTGTGACCGTAAACTCCGCTCACTACAGCGCCTCGTGTTTCGACTGTAGTCCAACTGCCTTGTTCTGAAAATGGGATTAAGGTCAACAAAGTACCACGGCATCTTTATCATGTTACCCAGTACTTCACAACATAATCTAAAACCTTCCACTACCTCAGAGTTGTATTAAACAGCAATCATAAGTAGTTACTATTATAATAAGAATTTATAACTACAATAGCATGTTCTGTCTGAGGGTGCTTAGTGGTGGTATTTCACAGGTCACTTATTAAGACAAACTGATCTCTCAGAGTTAAAAAAAAATCTTACCAAAGTCATATTCTTGGACAGTGTTCAAATATCCATATCTGGAAGAATGTCCAAAAATGACGAGCATGACTTGTTTTTTGGACTTGTGAACGACCACTGCCGCATGACCAACACAGGGGATGGGTGCACATGGACCAGGAGCTGACGCACATCCTCCAACCTCACTCTTGTTTGTGTGCTCCTCTTCTTCCTCACTATCATCTCCAGGCTTCACTTCCTCCTCCTCCTCCTCCTCTTCCCAGTCTTTACGATTGCTAAGGTTACTTTCTTTGTTCTCTCTACTTCTACCACTACGATTATTGCGCCGGTTTCTCTCACGTCGGCCAATCCTGCCCCTTCTTCCACCGCCCCGGCCTCGTCCACCGATCCTCTCTCCCCGTTCAGAAGGCAATAAAGACCACTTGTGTGATTCAGTATCCAGACGCCACAATTCTCGAGTTATACTCCCATCGTCCTTCATCCCTCCGTACATATATATGGATCCCTGAAGAAAAAGGTGAAATGTGTATTAAAATAAACATGGCCTTTACTTAACACCTGTAATGTTATATATAAAAAAAGGAATGATTTGCAACAACCACAATCATTCACAAATATTTTTCATCTTTTCTTCTGAATCATCCACCCAAGTGATGTTATCTGCAGCATGTTCACCTACCATTTGCACCCAATATTGAATTATTATCAGTCGAAGCTGCTTCACTCTTATCATCCCTTAACCTAACCTAACCTTACTATTCCAGGGATAAAAACACTGTTATTCTAAAACAGTAGCAGAAGTTTCATTCTTGTTACTAAAACTCTGGACAGCATTCAACAAATTACTGTAAGTAAACCTACTGTATAACTAGAAAAAGTATTGAATTTAAAGTAAAAATCAATGTTATAACAAAAGTTGTTTGCAAAAATCATACAGAAAAACATCATCTATAAATACATTGAGGCTTTCTGATAACTACCTTAATTCAACAAAAACAAAGACTCAAAATAATTAAGATGGACATAATCAAATTAATTTTGACATGGTGTACTGTTTAGGGGGACATACTGTACAGGTATGTTTATTAACAACAGGTAACTACATTCACAAGTGACTCACATTATAAACAACAGCAGTGTGACCATATCTGGCTACTGGTTTATGTATCCCAGAACTCCTTATCGGCAACCACGTGTCATCTGCAACAGAGATCACAATCCTTAGTTACAATATAATAACATAACTCAATCTTCTCCCTGTTACAATCCTTACCCTGTAATTTACAATCTAATATCAATCTTCTCCCTGGGCCAGGGCGGCGTGGGTGTGGTGGAGTGTCCTCCCTGATCTAAAGTGTTATTGGAGGGGACATATTCGGAGTGTGGGAGAGGGAATTTCACAGTGTGTCGGTGAATATCGGATGTCACCCTAGGCATTGTCACCGAAGGTTCTTCTCATCCCTTACGGCATTAATCGCAAATATTCCGTGTGTTCACCGGCGATCACCAAGCGATTTTGTGAGTATTTGGATGGACGGCTACTGCAGGTGCCAGTGCCAGTGTCGATAGGCCTAATTTGACCGGGGGTGGCATTGAGACTCTCGCCCTTATGGGGCCAAGTGCTCTATGCTTGCGGTCGCCCCACCCTCAAGTAACGGTCACCTCATGTAGTGTCGGCCGACCAAGTGAGTATATATAACTAATATTACTTCAGTGCGACCATGGAAACAGTGATTATTTCTACCAAGGATATATAAACAAGTGTTAGGTGTGACAATTCTTGCTCCCAGTGTATCATTCTCATGTGTGGATTGTCGCCAACAGGGGGGTGGCCTACACACCCACACGCGCACTTATGCCCCTACTACCCGGACACGGTAGTACAGCCGGTCACCTCTCTGCCCTTTACTCATAAGAACTAGTTTCTTCTTCTGTATGGGACCAAAGCAGATGTCGGAGGCGGACGTAACTGTCCCCCAAGGTGCGGAACAATATGCCGGGTATCAGACATTGCTGGGTCTGTGCTAGCCAGTACTAAAATTGCACTAGCTGTGAATGTGCGAGAAACAACCGACCATGTGTGGTTTGCAGAAAGGGCAGAAAGGGAAACAATTGTCGAAACCCACAAGGCAGGGAGCCGACACAGGAGGCCACAGTGGATATCGCTGGGACCCAACCGCCCGATGATATCCTAAATGATAGCAGTGAGTCTACTCAACCTGAAAATGTAGTACTAATAAACGCTGCTCCAATAGTAGCAGATGTCCACGAGGTGAATGAGAGACAGCCACCACAGTGGAATGGCATGTCGATGGAAAATGCTGACATATGGGTTAAAGAAACTTACTCAGAAATTGTCAGGTGGTCGCCAACTAACCTGTTTGAACCACCCAAGTGTGCGGCCACCAAAGAAATGATTCGGGAGATGATTCACCTCATAACTGAGTACACTCAGGACTGTTTCCTTGCCCCTTTAGTTCTTCAAATACTGGCAATAATACCACATCTATTCTGTCAGAGGACACACACAAAGGCTAAGCACAAAGAAAATGCAGCAACAATGAAGAGAAGAGTGACAATGTGGCAGAATGGGACCCTTGATGATCTCCTATGTGAAGCAAGAACACTGCAGGAGAGACTAAAATTTATAGGAGACGGAAAGCAAAACACCGATGACGTTGCAAGAAAGTTTGAAAACAAAATGCGTGTGGGAAAAGTGTCTTTGGCGGTAAGATCTCTCACAGAGGAATCATCCGGTGGGGTTCTGCCAATAAACAGAGACATTAAAACAACTGAAAGAAACACATCCCCCTGCAAGTGAAGACGAAGGCATCAGGTTCTAGGGTGACTATATCCCACCAAATGCTGTCCTGTTCAAGAAAATAACAGGAGAGATGGTGTGGAAAAAGGCACTGAAGACTCAGAAGATGCCGGCCCTTCAGGTCTGGATGCAAATGGTTCGAGAGTCATCCTCAGCACTAACAAGTTTGGCCCCGTAGCAAGTGATCTCTGCACGGCCATTGCCGTCCTTGCAAGAAAGCTGGCATCCTTGTGCTGCCAACACCTCCATGCTCTGACGGCCTGCCGCCTCATTCCCCTGGATAAGAATCCAGGGCGTAGGCCTATAGGGGTGGGGGAAGTGCTGGCCACCAGGCTGGAGGGGAAGCTGCCATTCACGCCATGAGAACGATATTTGAGCAACGCGATTGTTAGGCCGTTCTCCTGGTGGACACTTCAAACGCATTCAACATACTTAACCGCAAGGCTGCACTGCACAACATCAAGATCAAGTGTCAAGCTTTGCAATGTATGTTGAAAACTCCTATAGGTATCCATCAGACCTTTATATAGTAAACAACAAGGCTCTAAGAGGTGATACCATCCAGTCAACAGAGGGAACAACGCAGGGGGACCCTGTTGCAATGGCAATGTACGCAATAGGCCTATCCGTGCTCCAACACACAATAAAATTTGAAACAACTGAGGTCAAGCAAGTGGCGTACGCTGACGACCTTACAGGAGCAGGAAAAGTGGAGGACATCAAAAAGTGGTGGGACCTGGTAACATCACGAGGCCCACAAATAGGGTACCACCCAAATGCCAGCAAGTCCTTCCTCATTGTGAAGCCAGAACATCATGAACGGGCAATGGAGGTGTTCGGTGGAAGTGAGGTCAAAATAACAAAGGATGGCCAAAGATACCAAGGCGCAGTAATCGGCACGACGGACTTCAAGACCGAGTACATAACGGGAAAGGTGAATGAGTGGGTTAGGGAAATCCAAGCTCTGTCTGAGATTGCTAACACAGCGCCACATGCGGCTTTTGCGGCATTCACCCATGGAGTCAAGCATCGCTGGAACTACCTGATGCGCAGTATCCCCGATATCGGACCCCTCCTCCACCCTCTGGAAGAAGCTATCAGCGTCAATTTCATTCCCAAATTAGTGAAACACCCTCACTTAACCCCAGCAGAAAGATCACTCCTTGCACTACCACCGAGACTGGGAGGAATGGGGTTGACCAATCCAGAGGAGATTGCTGCCACCGAACATCAAAACTCAGTTAAGCTCACAGCATCTCTCAAGGACCACATAGCAGCTCAGAACGCAACAGGGGAGGTGGATACCAGTGAAGTAAACAAGATTCGAAGGTCCATTACGGCAGAACGACAGCACGGCCAAAGTGATAAGTTGCAGCAAGTACCAGAGAGTTTGAAAAAAAAGTAGCTATAGCGCAGGAGGTGGGCGCCTCGAACTGGTTAACTACGTTACCAATAAGGGCAAATGGTTTCAGTCTCAATAAACAAGAATTTACAAATGCCAATGCTCTAAGGTACGGTAGGCCAGTAAAAGGTTTGCCCTCCCAATGCGTGTGTGGCTCTTCCTATGACGTCGATCACGCCATAGTGTGCAAGAAAGGGAGCTTCATATGCATGAGGCATGACGAAGTAAGGGATCTCACAGCAAATATGTTGAAGGAAATCTGCCATGATGTCAGAGTTGAACCGACCCTCCTTCCATTGGATGGTGAGATTTTCCAACATAGGACTTCAAACACATCTTAACGAAGCCCATGTTGACATCAGTGCTCGAGGATTCTGGACACGGAGACAGCGAGCCTTCTTCAACATCAGGAACGAGAACGAAAAGTTAAGGGCATACGGGGAGAGAATTCAGAACGTTGATCAAGGCAGCTTCACTCCTCTAGTGTTCACAACCTCTGGTGGGATGGGACCAAGTGCAAGATGCTTCTACGCCAGACTCGCGGAGGTGATATCCGAACAGAAGCAGCAGCCCAGAAGTTATTATTACAGCCTGGATGAGATGTCGAATGTCCTTCTCTCTCTCCTTCGGTCGGCTTTGCTCTGCCTCAGGGGTACGAGAGCATCGGCCCCAAAGCCGATAACAGTTGCAGATATTGACTATGAAGCTACAGTCACTGAATGCTGCATAGATCTGCGGCTCAACTAACTCAACACAGCTAGGATAGCTACTTATGTATTAGGATATTTAATATTAAGGTAATAAAATGGTGGCGAAGGTATGGCTATTTGGGGAGGCTGGAGGCCATATTTGTAAAAAAAAATAAAATAAAAAATAAAAATAAAATAAATCCTTACCCTGTAGTTACAATCTAATATCAATCTTCTCCCTCTGTTACAAGCCTTAAGTTACAATCTAATAACATAATTATCAAAACCTCGTCCTCTGTTTCTAATTCTTTTCTTACACCATCAAATGAATTATAAAGGTTATATTGGCTTTACTGATAATATAAATAAAAGATATAAGTGATCCCCAAGACGAAAATTAATGTACCTGTAGTGCATTAACTGTTTATATATAATCTATGTACTGTATGAAGATTAGTTGGAATACTTTAAACAGAACACTGACTGGTAACTATTTGTCTACAGACTGACAAAAGGACAGCATCATGAATTCCAACCTCTCGACCACTTTCAGACAGAGGGTTAGAATATGAGTTTCCCAATAAGTATATGTTTTATTCAGACTTTTCCCCACTTTATGCTAAGGTGGCTGGAAAAAAAAGAGAGCAAAAACTCTCATAAATTTTCACTTTGGTCAGTCATTGTCAGTCATTCATTCTTACAACTGGTTATAAAAGGTTAAGCATAAACACAAAACATACAAATGACTTACCTGTTATGTTGTATCTTACGAGGAACGATCGCTCGGTGAAGGAGTAACCACCAATAACCCAAGTTATATTATCAATGAGAACAGTGGCGTGGGATGACCTTTCTAGTAGTGTGGACATAGGGTCAGGATGGGTCAGCTGGCTGGTAATGTCATGTCCCACTACCTCCCACCAGCCTTCCTCAATCACCTGGCTACAGTCTGCACCTGTACACCACAACACAGTTCAATAAATCAACAAGAATCTCCACAAATTTATAAATATTATGCAGCTCAAATTTATAATACAGTACAATGAATAGATTTCTTCCCTAATACAGTAATTATATTTCAGTACAGTATTTAATAAAAAATACATGACATTACTGTATTACGCATTAATTTGCTTTTATTAACTCCTTCACTGTGGGGAACACATTTTTAGTACAGTATTTCATTTGGTTAATGCCTGATGATTTTATTTAGCTTTGAGGTGACCACATAAACAAGGGCTTAAAGAGAAGATAAAAAAGAACATTCCATGTATGGAGACAAACCTGTGTAGCCAGAATGACACTGGCATCGGTGTTCTTCAGGGTTACACTGGCCATTGCCTGAGCAACCCTCTGGACAGACTGGAACAGAGCAGGCAGGACCCCCCCAGCTGGCATCACATGTGCAGAATCCCTCCAGACATGCACCTCGGCCGGAGCATTCCTCCCCCACCACAGTACTGGGACACCCATCAATTCTGTTTCCCACAATATAGTAGTGTTAATAAACTTCCATATGGTTATATCTCAGTACAGTATTACAGTGGTCCCTCGGTTAACGAGCACAATCCGTTCCAGCAGGTTGCTCGTTAACCGAAACCATTGTTCCAATGGGTTTTTGGGTAATTGGTTCCAGCTCACCGAAAATTGCCTAAATTCAACAAAAAAGGTAGAAAAGTACACTTACTTTGAGGTGTGTATGTAGAAGGCTCCTGGATGATGATGATGATGGGAATTAGAATGGGGGTGGAGGAGAAGGAAGAAGAGAAGGCATTGGGGTGGAAGAGAAGTCACCCCATGGTGCCATTTCACCCATAAAATTTTAGCTCTCTTGGTGTAATTCAAGATTATTTTCTTTAAATCAACACTGCACTGCATTATATATTGTCAATATGTAAAATATATTTCAAAATGACCAATAATTTGCTTGGAAACACAGAAAAAAAGCGTTTAGTTGAAGAGAGTCTCAAGCAAGATGTTACCTCCACTGAAAACAGAGAGAGACTAACGCCTGTCTGGTGTGTTAACAGGCTGGATGGCACGCCAGAAACTAGTTTCTTTACCTTCAATTATGTTCAATAATTGTTAAAATGACTAAAAAAGTTAATATTAAACTTTTAAAATTATTGAATAGTATAAACTTCTTGATATTTACTAAAATAGTAAGGAATTTAAGCCCTAAAACCGATTACTGTATTGGCGGACTAATACTACAGCTGGTGGACCGCCAAATGCAAGCGAAAACATGTTGAAGTCAGCTCGTAAAAAACTCGTTAATCGAGGGATTGCTCGTTAACCGAAGTTAAGAATCTTTTGGAAGGTAAATCGTTAACCGAGGGACCACTGTATACAACCATCACCACAACAAACGTCCATACAAGAAAAGAAACAGACTGATAAAAATGAAGATGTGTGAATGCACAGTATATAGATATATGCACAAACATGTAAGTAAACACAGGTATACACATCCAATGTAAAGACAAACAGTATACACCAAAACACACACATCCACTCCCTCCTACCAGGATATACATCTTCACACAGGAGTTGGCTTAATCTGGATACCAGTATTGTAATTTACACACAACACCAATCTAACCGGACCTCAATATTAAACCTGAACCACAAGGATTATCAAGAACATAATGTGAGATATGTGATTGACAATGACAACCTTCCCACAATAACACACACACCCCAGCCAATGACAATGTTTACAATATATTGTACTGCAATGTATATAGTCTATTTGTGAAATAAATCACATGCATATCTCCAGCCTATGGACAAAAATTCTACCATGCTTCAGAAAAATTACTCAGGTGATGATAAAACTATAAGCCTCAATACTGTAGTACAGCATCATCCAACATGTCCACAACCCCTGATAATGAGAGAAAAAATGAAATAGTATAATAATACTATTATGTACTAAATAAACAATATGGTAATGAACTTACCTATAAGATATTGAGAATCCTGTAAGGTTATAAGCTGCATCAGAGTAAAAGTAGAGGAGTGCATAGCCTGACTTAGCTACCACTTCTGGTATATGTGGAACACGGTAATCATCTTGAACCACCATCCCACTGTCAAAGTACAAAAGAAAAATTTAGACAAGGAGGAATTTACAAGTGCCTATTTCACTTTTTATAAATAGCACTTGAACCTTTACCACAAACCTCCTCCTCATTGCTTACTGGCCTTGTGCTGCACATGTCATTCTAAACTGGTGTAAAATTATAAATTGGGATTTGACCCAGAAAGGCCATTCTATAGCACAGCCATTAAGAAGTATCCCAGAGCCGGTGACCGGTAATTAGACTCCGGTAATTTGACTCCCGGTAAAGTGACTCCTGGTAATTTAACTCCAAGTCACTTTCACTCCCGGTAATTTCACCAACATTTAAAACATTGCATTTATTTATTAAGACAATTATTAATGGCGCAGGATATGAGCTATTGCTCGTAAAAAGTCAAAGTTGTTCTCTGAATTAAAAACATTGATATAAAAACATTTATAAAAACGTTAGAAGTCACTACAATTAGTAATACAGGTTATTTATAAAAAACATTAGAAGTCATTACATTTAATAATGATGCAGGTTATGAACTATTGCTCATAAAAAGTCAATTTTGTTTTCTGGAATATATCTAGAAAGAATAACCTGCAGCCGTTTGTTCAAATCTTTATACTTTTTCAGGGTTCAATCCAGGATGTAATTCTAGTAGTTTTGTGAATAGTCGAGTGTATGTTTCTTGTGTCTTGTTCTGAAGAAGTGCAAATAATCTTGGAACACTGAATTTCCCAACCTGAACATGAAGGGTGTACAACTGATAAAATAAATTTGGACAGAATTTAAAAGTTCCATCACTTGCCCAATGTTTTACATGCACCAAGTCATCCAGACCCTTACCCGTTGCAAACACAAGTAATCTATTTACGTCATTTTCACCACTATCAAATTGCAGGAAAAGTTCGCCAGTATCAAGGAATCTGTATTCATCAGGAATTTTATAGCCAGACCAATTCTGGGGAATTGGAGGGGCACTCGCTTTTGCTTGACGCCATTTCCTTATATTCCGACTTAAGCATAAAGTGGATGGTAGCTCTGCCATTCATTTTCATCCAAGTTTGCACTAGTAGCAGCAATAAGTGAACGAGAACATTACTGGGAGGAGATTGCTGCAACCTTCAAGTCAGTTAAATTTTTACAAACTTTGGGTTTTGCAACAGAAGAACTATGATGATGTTCACCGACACATTTAATTATGCCATAATCCTCATCATACATCAGGGTGTGGACTCGAGCTTTGCAACACTTCACTTCACATTTCCAATAAGTCTTAGATCCATTGGCATTTCTTTTCTGTGCTTCGTATATGTAATTCATATCATCTACAAGTTTCTCCCTTCCCCAGGTGCTGGCAATGACGTGAGGCATGGTAACAAGGGTATACGAATGAGTTATGATCAACCCTCACCTGGCAGCAGCAGTTGGACAACTGAATGGGTTAGCTGGGCCTCACCTCTGGTGGTGCCATCTTCTGGATTTTTAAAATTCTAAAATTTACATGCTTGCTTAAACTAGATTTCAAAACTACTTAAATTAAATCTTTAATTTTTAACTACTTAAATCAAACTACAGTGGGGTATGCTATAACGAACGGATCCTACTACGAATATTCCTATAACGAACGGTTTTACTTATAAAATTGAGAATGCTATAACGAACGCAACTCCTACAACGAACGCGGATGAATGCGGGACTATTTCGCCTGGCGCATGAATATTGTTGTACCGCGACCCACAAGAGCGTCAGGCGCCATCTTTGTCTCATTGTGTAGCCAGTGCACCACTGTTATTGTTGAAATTTCGTCTTTTGATGTGGAAATTCGCGTTATTTGTATAACTATTTTGTTATACAAGTATACAATTGTAACAATGAGTCGTCCAAAGCGAGTGAGAAAGCTAATAACCCTTGAAACTAAGAAAGAAATTATAAAGAAACGTGAGAATGGAAGAAGCATTGCGAAACTTAGTGATGAATATGGGATGGCTAAATCGACTATATGTACGATTTTGAAGAATAAAGAGGAGTTAAAAACTGTGCAAGTGGCTAAGGGAATCTTTAGACTTAGCAAAGCAAGGTGTAATGTGATTGAAGAGATGGAAAATTTACTCTTAGTGTGGATAAAGGAGAAAGAAATGGCAGGTGGTAACATTAGTGAAGCTATAATTTGTGAGAAGGCCAGACAATTGTTTGAGGACCTTAAAGCCAAGACTCCCAGTGGAAGTGATAGTGACGTGCCAGTGTTTAGGGGTACCTGCATGCTGAATAACACTAGGGTAAGATAAAGTACCGTATTTTTTACATTTTCCACAGAATTTTTCTAGTGTTAAGTGGTTGTATTTGGGGGCCTGGAACGGATTAATCCTATAACGAACGAATGCTATAACGAACGAGGTTCTGGAACCAATTACGTTCGTTATAGCATACCCCACTGTATATTTATGTTAAATTTATTACCGTTACTATTATAATTATTTATTGAAACAGGAGTGGATTATCCAACCTCTGGCAGCTACTGCAATCAGCCGTTCAGCACTTATAGAACACTAAAACATATTTTAATTCTTTATTTTTTTAAGAAGTGTTTCTAATATTTTTTTAATAAATGTTTTTAATAAATTATTTAATTTTTTTTAATGGTGAAATTATCGGAAGTGAAACTGACTGGAAGTTAAATTACCGGGGTCAAATAACCGGAAGTGAAATTACCTAGAACACCCAGAGCCCACCCACCTCTTCTGTAGAGAATCACGTGTGAGTGAGATAAGCAGCATAAAACTTAGATTATGACATCAAAGACTTGTTTATTCTATAGGATCTGTTGACTATGACCTTCGATTTGTTGACTTTAAATTTGTGGGACACCTTCCCCTCCTAAGAAATAAGAAACATAAAACTTGCCTAAGATATGTCACGTTATCTTACATAAACAACAGTTTTACATGTAACACCTAGATGACTCTCATGTCCCCTACCCAAATGTTCTTAAAAGTTTTCTTATTTAAAGGGTAAACCATCACAGGCAGTTTCCTGAAAATGAAGCTGAACTAAACTCAAAGGTACTGTATGATGCCAAAGATCTGTTTGTGAAGGAGTTGTAGTAACCCTAGTAACATGTCCTCCTATCGGGTGTAATGGTGAAGCTTGGTTACATGTGTGGAGATATACTATAAACAAAATTGTTGAAATAGATGCAGCCCTCTGTAATAACCCCATGTTCTTCTGGTGGTCAGGGAATAAATGTACAGTATCAATGAAATAATATAACAAATAGCTACTGAGAGGATGAAGATGGGTCTTGTATTATCCAACAGTGTCAATGTGAGTAATATACAGTACAGTAGGTATGGAAACATTTAAGAGAGCTTCAGCTTGGTATACCCAACTATAAAACATGGATTTAATGTACAGTATATTTAAAAAGAGAGAGATGCACAAACATGGGTACTGTACTCACCTGAAGACAGCTAGGAGGGGATCATAAATACTGTCACCATCATAAACATATAAATGGTCCCACGAACATTCCGTGGCAAAGTGCTCAAAATGGAGACGGATGGAGGTATTGGGCCGGCCCGCATCAATCAGCCATGTACACTGGGTGTCTGTGGAGTAATTACCTGATCCATCCGTTATCACACTTGAATTGGACCATAACCTGTGAAGGAGACGGCTGTTAGAGATTGGCTTCCATATAAGACTCACAAATGCAGAGATTACATAGACCACATGAACCTGTCAAACCTAACAGACTTTATCCCTGGGTGGCTTGTGTGTTCTGCTTCAAAATGATTTCAAACTGTTTTTTCCCATTACAAGTGCTCCTCTACTTAAGACCGTTCAACTTACAAACTTTCAGAGATACAAACATCCTCACTGAAGGGGGTTACCTGTCAGAAAAGGTGTTTAATGTGGATGAGACTGGATTATTTTGAAGAAAATTACAGATAGAACAAACATTACCTAAGAGGAGAAGAGTGAGCCAGGTTTTAAGGCTGTATTAACGGGTATAGCTGTACTAAATATCCATAATCTTTTCAATTTTTACAATAAGTTTGGTATCTACAAGAGTAAAATTGGACTTACAAACAAGCCTCAGGAACGTAACTCGTTCGTAAGTAAAGGAGCACCTGTATTTACCTCCAGATGTAGACTCTAAGAATTAAAACCAACACCTAGATGTAATTTCCATTACAGAATATAAATGTAACCACAGAGATGAGATGACCTCCACTTTTATCTTCCCTTTTAAGATAATTTTCACTTAGAGGTCAAAAGAACATCTTTTAGTCTCAAGATGCTAAATTACAAAGCTGTCATCAGCCTGAGATGGTCTATATACCTAGTACACTTACACTCCTGTCCCTTTCACCGTTCAGTTTAACTCTATAACACAAAAGTGTTTTTCATTTATCTCAGCAAAAGTCAGTAGACCCAAGGGTAAGACATCAGATACCTCTCACGACTAACCTACTGTACTGTACTGTATTGTAAAAAAAATAAATCAATCACCCTCTTCTCTTGCTGCAGCTTCATCAACAATACAGTACTGTACATGTGAACATTTTATAATTTTTAATCTTTTGATACATTATTACTGCAGGATACAGTACTGTACATTATACTGTACTGTACGCTGAACTTGAATTATTGACAACTTTCAAAAGATAATTTAACTTACCATAACTTATATATTGTATCCAATGTTTGCAGGACTTTACAACTAATGATCTGTTGCATCTTGTATTTAATTACAGTACAGTACAGTATTTAAAGCTTAACTTTTAGACTTGTGTGGTTGGTTACAGCTCCGTTATGTACTGTTGGCAAGTACAGTACTGTATTTGGACCATGTATTGGCTCCAGAATGTATCTGTACCTGCACTAGTCTTACTATAATAATAATATTAATAATAACACCGGTCAACACAATTTTTCTGGCACAAGGTTTTTAAACGGATTTTAAGTAAATTTGGGGTGCAGAATCCAAATATGACTTTGGTTTTTGTCTATCACATCAGGTTTTTGAGATATACCATATTGCACTTTTGCTGGGAAACGTAAACTTTTGGATCAAAATTGACGGTTTAAACATGTATACATAAATTTTTTCAGCATTATAATTTGTATTTTTCTATAACCAAAAATTGTTAATACGGTATCAAATTGGAAAGTTAATGCACATATAATATTTAAATGTAACATTGAAGGGTGAAAAAAGCAATTAATGTACGGTAGAAATAGTGCAAGTATTAAGATCAAGTTACAGTTACATTAACTTCCTCTTTTTGGCCGATCTCTTATGTACAGCTTCTGGAATGTCTCTCATCAAACTCCAGCAGTAGTCCGCCATCATGTTCGAGTCCCATCGACCTTGGTAACGTTCTTCCATTACTTTAATGTCTTGATGAAAGCGCTCCCCTTGCTCCTCGCTCACTTCTCCCAGATTTTCTGGAAACTCGTCCAAGTGACTGTGTAAGTAGTGAACCTTGATACTCATTCTGCATCCAAGTGCTTGTAAACTCAAGAGCAGCTCTTCCACAATTTCTTGATAGTTGTCCGCTTTCTTGTTCCCTAAGAAGTTCCGCACCACATTAGAGAATGCATTCCAAGTTCTTGCCTGTGCCTCAGTCATTGTTGCAAGGAAGTGTGGATCTCTGAGTAGTGTTCTTATTTGAGGTCCATCAAAAATCCCTGCCTTTTTCTTCTCGTCGCTAAGACTTGGAAACGTTGAGCATATATATCTGAAACACTCTCCACTATGATCAAGAGCCTTGACAAATTGCTTCATGATACCAAGTTTTATGTGCAGAGGAGGAAGGACAATGTTTTTCCTGTCAACCAGAGGATCGTTAATGATATTCTTGTCACCAGGCGTCAAACTATGTCTTGGTGGCCAATTCTTTTTCACCCAATGGTCTGCTGTAGCCCTGCTGTCCCAGTAGCACAGAAAACAGGGGTATTTTGTGTACCCTCCTTGCTGGCCCAATAGAAAGTTTACCATTTTCAAGTCCATACAAATTAACCATTCATGAGCATGGTATTGCAACCTCTCTAGAACAGTCTTAATGTTTTCATACTCTTCTTTAATTTGTACAGAATGTCCGATTGGAATTGAACCATACTTGTTTCCGTTATGAAGAAGAACACATTTCAAGCTCCTTTTAGAACTGTCAATAAAAAGTCTCCAATGCTTACTATCATATGCTGGTAGTCCCATGGAGAGAAGAAGTCCTTCTACATCATTACAAAAAACAAGCTGGTCATATGAATGAAAGTACTTCCGCAGTTGCTCTTCTCTGTTGCGATAAAAGGAGACACTCGTGCCAGGTTTTAAGAGTCGTTTCTCTTGAAGCCTGGAAGCTAACAATTCAGCAGACTGTTTTGGCAAATTTAGATCTCTGACCAGATCATTCAATTCTGACTGAGTAAACAACGTTGGCTTTTCACAATCTTCACCAGATGGCTTGAAAAGATCAGTCTCTTCATCTTCATCAGTAGAAACAGGTGAATTCCGGTCTATATCCTCAATCTCTGGTAGCTCAGTAAATTCTGGCATGTTACGTGATGGAGCAAATCTGAGATCAGATTTGGATTCAGCACCTTAAAGTTAGTAAAAAACAGTTAAAAGGTTTCATGCCAGAAAAAAAAAATATTTTTTTGTAGACCAGTGTAATTGATGGTCAGTTAACTTGACCAAGGACAGCTGACAAAGCCATGAAAGGTTTGTTTCCAGTAAAGTCCTTAAGTCAGCAGCATCTGGTGTTCTCAGGGCCAGGCGGTCACCCATCCAAGTACTAACCAGACCCAATGTTGCTTAACTTCACTGATCAGACAAGAAGTGGGGTTTCCGACATGGTGCTCCAGTGTTGGTCAAGTCTGGCCTTGAATGAGTTCACACTCGGTGTCGTCACAACACTCTCTGGCAGATTGTTCCAAGAGTTGACAACTCTCACTCAAAAAAATTTGTCCTAATAATTTTTTGAACTTGTGGCATCTTTGTATGTTTCAGGATCTTTTTTACTCTACAGTTCTATACATAACTAATTTCATGCTTGAAAACTACTGGTCTTTTGTTTCTTAAACACACCAGTTCTTTTATAGAATTCATTAAGCGCTTGAAACACTACAAAGCCAGAGACTTGAGAATAAAAAGAAATACTGTACTACAGCAAAAGATCACAAAGTGACAGTTTGACTGCTATCATTTACATACAATGACCTCAAGTTTTAGCTCCTCCTAAACCCTGTAATACTCCACCACTGTACCCTGTTTAGGAACATAAGCTTAAAAAAAAGCTGCTTCACGGATGCAGGCAACTGACTGTACAATCTGGGTGATGTACAGGAAATGAATTGGGCAGCAAAAGAACATTTGTGTACTGCTCCAGGCCTCAGGGTGTGAAGGATCGTGATGATCCTGTGTTAAATCATTTTACAATGTGTAGTCAGAGGAATAAGTATACTGGCCAAACACTTAGGCTCACTAAACATTAGTGTCTTAAAAGTCATTAGACAAAGCCTCAACTCTACCCTAGCTTTAACTGTTAACTGAAACAAGGTAGCAGCCAGAAGCCCCTCACTACAACTAACAACTTTACTCCATCACTATCAATTTCAACTTCATTTCACGTTCATTTGGGCTTATTTCTGGCCACGTGAGTGTGTAATAACCCAGGCAGTAGAGGTAAACAGATGTCAGGGTCAAACATCCATTTTCAGATGAAGGGGAAATCCCAAGTATCAAATGCCTCCTAACTGTTAATAATTCCACCTATATTTCACCAATGCGGCGGTACAGACACAGATCACACACCACACAGATTAAGGATGAATTAATATGTTGAAAATAAGGATTAATAACAAGGAGGGGTAAATCCTTTGAGTTTTAAATGCCTACCAGACCTAAATATTTACATATTCTCAACAAAATCCCCCTATATCGGCCCAGCCCACCTTCCTTTTAAAAACCACAAATAATAGACTTACAAAAGATGAAAATAAAAGATTAGTAATTAAAATAAAAAGTGATTTGGTTACTACTCACCTCAGCCTTCCCTCACACCACTGACACAGCGGACCTTTCCATCCTGGGTCACATATACACTTGTTGTCCACACACCTGCCATGCTCGCACTCCAGACTGCACTCCTGTCCCTCTGTACACACCACCGCGTAACCTAATAAAACTATCACTACTACTAAGGTCCTCGGTCGCTCTAATTTCCTCAAAAACTTAGATTTGAACAGGAATTTCTGAAGATCCGCAGCCATCTTGGATCTGCCATTTCCGCAACTAGTGACGTCACCCGTAACTAGTGACGTCACGGAAAACTAATGACGTCACTGGCAAAACATTGAAGGATGGGAAGAACTCGACTGTATGTTATTTATTTTAAGTGTATTATGGACATTGGCGGTTGGTGTATATATCCTAGATGATTATACAATACTACTACATTAATCCTCACGTAATGGAGTACTTTGTTAACCTGGGGATTTAAAAACAAACATATAGACACAAGTTAACGAGGCCAAGAGCACCATCTTTTTCCCACACGATTCCCGTTATATTTCCAAGACGGAAAATATGCAATACTGTAGTGAGGAATGTTTGTTCACAGCTGTGTTAATTACCACTCTACCACAGTATATAAAGACTTACATGCGATACACTAATAGAGATAAATAAATATATATATTACATAAAGTAAAATTATCATACAAGCTGGTTCATTGTTTATATACATAGACAAAACAGATTAACTATCATTAATAGACAGTAAGTCGAGTCGATAAAAAAATAACCCTAGAAAGTTCCTACTCTGTTGTTATTGGTATCTTTAATTATTCACATATATTAAAGCTTTGAATATTAACCTAATTTAATTTCATTATTCCATAAATACTCCTGTGACCTTCATGAAGTGCTTTAACAACAACAACAACAACAGCAACAATAATAATAATAATAATAATAATAATAATAATAATAATAATAATAATAATAATAATAATAATAATAATAATAATAATAATAATAATAATAATAATAATAATAATAATAATAATAATAATAATAATAATAATAATAATAATAATAATAATAATAATAATAATAATAATAATAATAATAATAATAATAATAATAATAATAATAATAATAACAATAATAATAATAATAATAATAATAATAATAATAATAATAATAATAATAATAATAATAATAGTAATAATAATTTAAGATAAACACCAAAGAAAATTATATATTAAAAATTTTAACAGAACATTAAAATAAAAATTACATTTTTATTATCTTGGCATTCTTTATTCCAGGAAACATTATCTACTTATTGCTTTCTTTTCCTTTCTCTTTCTACCTGCAACTTTCTCTTTCTGTACCTCCCTAGTACCTTTTTTGGCCCTCTTTCTATCATTTTCTCTTTCATTTTCTTGCTTTATTTTTCTTCCATATACCTTATCTCTCTTCTATTTTTTTCTTTCTCTTTCTTGTCTTTCATTCTTTCTCTTTCTTGTCTTTCATTCTTTCTCTTTATCTCTTCATCTTTCCTTCCACTGTTGTGTCCCGGATTCGCCTGACTTTCTCCTTGCCTCTATCTCTTGGTTTCTCCCTTCTCTGTTTCTCTCTCTCTCCTCTGTCTGTCTGTCAAGGCTTTTGTCTATGTACATTTACTTAATCGATAATTATATGAGAGAGAAAGAGATAAATAATAATAATAATATAATAATAATAATAATAATAATAATAATAATAAAATTGTCACACAAGTTTACAATTGGATAAGTTCAGCTGAAAAGAGAGAGAGAGAGAGAGAGAGAGAGAGAGAGAGAGAGAGAGAGAGAGATATATGTTGAGTGTACGCAATCTAGATTCGTGCTTGAGAGTGTAGAGAGAGAGAGAGAGAGAGAGAGAGAGAGAGAGAGAGAGAGAGAGAGAGAATAAACGCACTCCTCCAGGGACTGACAGTGTTGCCACATTCATGAGGTCGTCACCCGCAAAGCGCCTTCACACATCTCACATCTCAGATTCTGACTCAAGATTCCCAGAGGTTCGTACGGTCAATATTCCTTGTAGGTAAAGATGCGAGAAGGTACCTAACTGCTTGACTCGACTTAAAGCACAAGCATAACGCCTAAAATGACAAAAAAATTACTCTACCTCGCTAAGATCAGTTCACTTTTCACCAGTATGGAGATAGCCCTATTTTTTGTGTTGAAATCTGGATACAGGTTCAGAAAAGTTGGTAGATAATTTTTGTACTTAGTTGCGGCAATTTGCAGATGTCGACAGTATCAAAAAGGTGATACATGAAGATAGATAAGCATATACGTATTAAATATTTCCTATACAGTAAATGCGTAGTAAAGGCCAATACATGTAACCCATTAAGAAAATCATCACAAATTATTTCGTAGTTTTTGCCATATTTTCCTGTGTTTTTTCTGAAATAAAACTTATTTTAAAAACTTGCAAACCGATTTCATAACGTATCCTTACAGGAATTCCATAAAAGTTTTCATTTGATGACTTTACGTACCTATAGAGCACGCCAGGAGGAGCCTAGTGGTTCGTATTCGATCCGTTCATTGTTTTATTTTTATTTTTTTCAGTAGCGAGGTATTTCCTGAACCCTGAAATGGTGGTGAGCGCTATCTAAGAGGTCGTATTCATATTAGATTTTACGATGAATATTCCTCGCAAGTTATGACTAAGAATACACTTGATTCGCTTTAGGTCAAAATCACACAGACTCAACTGGATACGTTCTCTCGGCATCATCTGGTGACCAAGTTAACGAGAAGAATTTGGATCACTTGATGATTAAACACCCCAGCATTACCTAGGTCCGAGAATTGTTTGCAGGTCATTGATATAGTGATGGTTAGTGTTGGTACTGGAAGAAATGCTCATAATATTCCTTACGACTGAATGTTACGAAATTATGAGGAACATCGCCTGAACTGAGCTGACCTTTGGTAATCTAAACTGGGGTGACCTAGCTACCTGATGACCCCGTGACCTCGAATTCCCCCATATTTACCTGTTGGTCATGACCTTGTGGGAGGCCTTCCTACGTCACCAGCGCCTTACACGGATTGCATAACCTTGCAAGAACTAACACAGATTGGTTGCTGGCAAGTGCTGCTTCCTCACAGCTTTGCCTCACATTACTGTTTCCGTTTTGCGGCTTCAATATGTTTATTTCTGTGATCTGACACACAGCAGTAGCGACGGCAGGATATACTGTATATATATATATATATATATATATATATATATATATATATATATATATATATATATATATATATATATATATATATATATATATATATATATATAAGTTAAAGTTTTAGACTAAAGGTATCTGTGTAGACCGCACGCTATAGTAACACCTAATATTAATTCTCCACTGGAGATTCTCTTAACGTTCACTACTGCTTTCATTGGGTTTGTTTGACGATATTAAAGTTTGTTGTGACTTAAGATAGCCAGCCAGTCAGTCACTTAGACCTAGTTAAGGCTCTGCAACTAAGGATCGCAGATCATGTTTGCCCGACCTCCTCGAATTGAGAGAAAACGACGCAAAGTTCTGTATGTCACAAGGTAAGAAGAAATTTTAATTGGGATATGTGAATGTTTTCTAGAAATTCGACAAAGATTTGTGAACATTTTCAAAAGATTTGGGAATGTGTTTTCTTGACAGATGGCATATTAGGGGGTCAGCTCACACAGTATTGGCGTTTAGAAACTGTGCACAAATTACAAACTGGTTCAGTTCTAAAATTCGGATTCACACTAAATTTTGATTATTTTTTCGATAATTATGAATGATTTTTATTTCTGTGGATTTCATGTATATGCATCTGCTTATACTTGTAGAAGAAAGTGTCATGTGAGTACAAATAATAATAATAATAATGTTTAAAGGCATATTATAGGCGACCGGGGAGGGGGGGGGGGGGTTGCTACAGGGGCACGGGCCATTCCCTGCACTACTCCACACACACACACACCGCGCAAGGCAGTCAAAAGTACATCACGTCCATACAAAATAATGTCCATAAACGTTTCAGATGGTCGTATGACTGATAATTTGTGATAAATGATGTTTGATACAAAAAATGCAGGTTAGGTTACAATAAACCAAAATACAGTTACTTTAACAATATATTCCTGGAGGATGATAAGGCGAATTTAGCACCTGGATGTTGCAGCTGGCGGACCGTTGAGAACAACACAAGTGGACGCAGCTGTGAAAAATATCCCACACATTTCACTTACTCGCTTACTTAACCATCACCTAACTAACTGGTGGGTCAGCTCTCTAATTACTCACTGTTGGGAAGCACTAGGGATGTACGGGCTCTGTTACACACTGTTGGGAAGCACTAGGGATGTACGGGCTCTGTTACACACTGTTGGGAAGCACTAGGGATGTACGGGCTCTGTTACACACGGTTGGGAAGCACTGGGGATGTATGGGCTCTGTTACACACTGTTGGGAAGCACTTGGGATGTACGGGCTCTGCTCTGTTACACACTGTTGGGAAGCACTAGGGATGTACGGGCTCTGTTACACACTGTTGGGAAGCACTGGGGATGTATGGGTTCTGTTACACACTGTTGGGAAGCACTAGGGATGTACGGGCTCTGTTACACACTGTTGGGAAGCACTGGGGATGTATGGGCTCTGTTACACTCTGTTGGGAAGCACTGGGGATGTACGGGCTCTGTTACACACTGTTGGGAAGCACTGGGGATGTACGGGCTCTGTTACACACTGTTGGGAAGCACTAGGGATGTGGCTCTGTTACACACTGTTGGGAAGCACTGGGGATGTACGGGCTCTGTTACACACACTGTTGGGAAGCTTACTGAAATGTGGGCTCTGTTACACACTGTTGGGAAGCACTGGGGATGTGCAGGCTCTGTTACACTGTTGGGGAAGCACTGGGGATGTATGGGTTCTGTTACACTCTGTTAGGGAAGCACTGGGGATGTGTACGGGCTCTGTTACACACTGTTGGGAAGCACTGAGGGATGTACGGGCTCTGTTACTGTTGAGAAAGCACTATGGGATGTATAGGCTCTGTTTACTCTGTTGGGAAGCACTGGGGATGTACGGGCTCTGTTACACACTGCTGGCAAGCACTAGGGATGTACGCTCTGTTACATACTGTTGTTGCTTAAACACTAGGGATTATTACGGGCTCTGTTACACACTGTGTTGGGAAGCACTAGGGATGTACGGGCTCTGTTACCCCACTGTTAGGAAAGCACTGAGGATGTACAGGCTCTGTTACCCACTGTTTAGGAAGCACTGGGGATGTATGGGCTCTGTTACACACTGTTGGGAGGCTTGCTGAGATGTACAGGCTCTGTACACACTGTTTGAGGAAGCTTACTGGGGATGTATGGGCTCTGTACACACTGTTAGGAAAGCACAGGGATGTGCAGGCTCCTGTACACACTGTTGAGAAGCACTGGGGATGCTTGTGGAGCCTGTTACCTCTGTTGGGGAGGCTTGCCTGGGGATGTACGGGCTCTGTTACACACACTGTTGGGAGAAGCACTGGGGATGTACGGGCTCTGTTACACACTGTTGGGAAGCACTAGGGATGTACGGGCTCTGTTGCACTGTTGACAAGCACACTAGGGATGTGGGCTCTGTTGCACACTGTTGGGAAGCTACTAGGTATGTACAGGTTCTCTTACACACTGTTGGGAAGCACTGGGGATATGCAGGCTCTGTTACACACTGTTAGGAAGCACTAAGGATGTACGGGCTCTGTTTACACTGTTGACAAAGCACTAAGGGATGTGCAGGCTCTGTTACACACTGTTAGGAAAGCACTGAGGATGTATGGGCTCTGTTGCACACTGTTGACACTAAGGATGTACGGGCTCTGTTACACTGTTGGGAAGCACACTGAGGATGTATGGGCTCTGTTGCACACTGTTGACAAGCACTAAAGGGATGTACGGGCTCTGTTACACACTGTTTGGGAAGCTTACTAGGGATGTATGGGCTCTGTTACACACTGTTGGGAAGCACACTGAGGATATTACAGGCTCTGTTATTACACACTGTACACAGTCTCTCTTTCACAAGTCGACTTCTCTGAGTTGATATTGTTAAGGCTGTAT